AATATGTCACCTAGCAACGGGGCCCGCGGGGGGATCGAGTCAACTATAAAGGAGTAATGTAAATGTACCAAGCCAGTCCTGGCTTTGCTTGTGACTACGTTACGCATGAGTAAACCTCTTTTGTGAACCACACGTGTCACGGGAGTTTCTCTGTCGAACGGGGCAAACCTTACACTACATTCATCCAATCCTGATTACAGGTAGTCCTCGCTTAACAACCATTCATTTAATGATGGTTTGAAGTTATGATGGCCTCAGAAAAAGTGCTTTACGACTTATACTTGCTCTTATGACTGTCGGAAATCGTTGCACCACCCCCTGCGGTCACATGATTTTTTACCTTTTTATGACGATTGTAAAGCAAATCACTGAAGTCATTAAGCAAATCATGTGGTCGTTAAGCGAATTCTGGCAAAAAATGTCCATTGGGAAAGCTGAATTCACTTAACAACCATGTGACTTGCTTAACGACCATGGTGATTCACTTTACGGCCATCAAAAAAAAGGTCATAAAATTGGTCCAGTCATGTGGTGATTCGCTTAACCACCCCACTTAAACAACCAATTTTCTGGTCCCTATTGTGGTTGTTAAGCAAGGACTACCTGTATCCTTATTCACCAATAATATGCTAGGATCCACAGCTTCTAAAGATACACAAAACATGTTACAGCTTTTGAAGTGCCCATGCCCAAACTGAAACATGTTTTGGATGTTTTGGTCCTTGCACCGAACAAAACAGGACTGTCTTGTTCCGTGCAACTGCTTTGGGAAGAATTGAATCAGAGGGAGAAAAGCAGGAAAAAAGCAAGTATACTGGTAGCAACTATGGAGAGGCAGAGGAGGAAGAAAGAAAGCAGAAGTGAAAATGCTGGCAAGATTCGGGAGCAGCGTTCCTTACTATGAGGCCACTGCAATAAAGAGCAAGCACACAGGCCAGTACATCAACAGTGGTGGCAGCTGAATGGAAAAGAAGGGTTGGGCTTGGGGGATATGCAATGCTGAGACATCAGTAGTGGCAGCTTAGGTGTAATGATATGTGGGAATGACCTTGGGAGACAGAGGGAAGACCTACAGCCAAGGGAATGGTCAGACAAGAGGCAGTTTAGCCCGCAAAAGGAATGGGGGCATGGCAAACATCTCAGAAGGGACCCTCCCTAGTATCTTGGGCTGTAAAGGCAACAGGGGAGAAATGTACTTTCAGACTTACAAGACTCTGTTAATGTAACCTTACAATAAAGTAGAATTAGTCCATCTAGTCATGCTCCCTGTCTGGACTACCTCAATAGGCTGACATTAAGGGAGGAAAAGGAAAAGGAAAAGGAACATATTGGAAGGGGCAGGCAGACTAGTGGGGATCTGCCACATTAGAACATCCATGGCAGCAGTAGCTGAGGGGAGGGAGGAAGGAAGGAAGGTAGGGGAAGGGAAGGGAAGATATTATCAGTAGGATATGCCCTGTTAGTACATTGGTGGCAGCTGAAGGAGTGGAAGGAAGATGACAAACACTTGACAACTGATTTCATTTATTTGGATTTATTGCCCACCCAACTCCAGTGAAGCAAGATTCTCAGAGGCTTGTTTAACCAGATTTATTGCAAGGGAAAAGAGATTAGGTAGCAGAAATCTCAACAACTCGATATTTTCACTTTAGTACCCAATTTATCTCTAAGTTTGTTACAACCAAGATTTCTTCATTCTCTTGTTAACAGCTCTTTGACGGACTATCCATTTTCTCAATAATAGAAGATGGGATATGCAGGTGTTCTGAGCTTATAAACCACCAACATCTTTCCCAAATCATGAGAAGTTCATTAAAAAAATAGGAAGGTAAAGATTGGTTAAAAGATTGGGGGTGGGGGGTGGGCAGACTAATGGGATATCTGCATGGGACATCAGGAGTGCCAGCAGCATTGGCTGAGGGGAGTGAGGAAAGAGAACACACTGAATACTGGGG